TGGCGTGAGAGGCAAGGAAAAAAGGCATCAATCTCAGATCGAGAATAATTTATTAAGATCTGAGATACAGCAATTACGTGGAAAGGACCAAAAAGAAAAAAAAAAGAAGAAGCCAACTCTCCAGGAACCGCATACATGATTGCAATCTTGATTAAATCCCCCTGGATCTAATGAGTTGATTTTCTGCTGTTAATATTGCATTGGCTGATGATGGATTCGTTAAGATAATGGAACGAAGCTAAAATATAAATGACTCCCTGTCAAGGAGCAGATTTTCGTCATTTTCCGTCTGACACCTCCGCCGTGGGGATTTGGTGAGGCCTTTTTGTGTTTAGAGCCATCAGGATCTGGAATACTAATTGCTCATGTGTGGACGCTTCTAATGCCTCTCCTGCTCTCCACACCCCCCCACCCCTCCTTATCATCTTGGTAAATATCTCCTCCACATCTCTACACAGGAACAAAGAGACAGAAGCAGCTTTCTTTCAATTATGTGAAATGTCTATGTTTTAACTACAACAAAACATATTACATGATACTGTAACGATTTTCACAGAACACAACTGCAACCTCCAGTTCAACTATCAAATCACAGAAAGAAGTCAAATATTTAAAGCTACTTTATATGATACAAAAGCCACCAACAAAAAGAAAACGTAAGCAATAGGCTACCCATATCGACCTGTGCGTTTGAGATAAATTAATAATACACTCTCCCTTTGGTGCCGTGCAGAGCAGCTGAGCCAGTTTTTCTCTTTTTTTAATGGTCTGTCACTTAGGTCAACTGGAGGAGTACAATGTCCGATGCATAGAATATTGATTCCATATCACACATGAACCACAACACTGCGTGTATTATTTTTCTCTCAAGTGTGTCCGAAATTTAATGCAAAACACATTTATAATAATCCAGAGATACAGTGTACTATAGTGTGAATATGCTGTGATTATATACTGTCATTTGTAGTGGCTGGCCAAAGTATTGTTAATCAAAAAGGAAGTCGGTATGTTCAGGTTCATGCAATTTTTAATGATGTGTAAATAAATATCCAAAGGCACAGTGGGGAAGTTTACTGTTGTCTGAGGACAAGGTTTTACAAAGTTAATAAGTCAGAATACAAACTGCAGCATGGGGATTAGGAAAACGCACATTTAATAACAAATACAGTTAATGTAAATACAATAATGCTATGTGTACTTTTTATGTAACCTACTTAGTAAATCCCAAACTGTTCTATCATTATTGTAATTGCTATTGTTGTCAAGTTTCATGCTTGGCTCGGCCCTTCTTTTGTGGTGATTATGATATTGTCCCCTTTTCTGTGCGATATGACCAGGAAACCCATCTGATTGGGCCATGCCCAAGGGCCCATTCTTCTCCGTGTCACTTTTTGTGTCCTTTAACATGGTTTTACTAAAAAGTCTTTTTTAATCAATCAAGAAGCAGCCAGAAAATAGGCTTTGTCATGGCAGGACCTGGGGTCGTGTGATGCCTGCTCTGCCCGGTGACAGGTCTTCAAAAGGGATAAAAAGGAATATTTTGGGGGGAAAACGGGGGTTTCCATGGCACCGGCACTTGTTGCACATGGATCACCATTCTTTGGTTCTGCATGAGATTGAGGTTTCAAAGGGCTGGACAACAAAAATTAGGCGAGGAGGGGACAGTGGGACCATGGAGGTAGCTGCCCTCAAGCCCCCTACTCTGTCCTCTCCTAGGGGAAAAGGAGAATAGGAGCCAGAAGTGGCAGCACAAAAAGGGGCCTACTAAGTGCTGTCAAATATGCATGAGTAAATGGTAAGTTTCTCACTCAGCAGTGTGTTCAAAAAGTCCAACTGAAACACAGACCAGATGACACATATACAGACCAATTCAGTGAGAAGTGTATTCTTGTTGTGGCTTCCACTTCGTGTAATTAGAGGTTGTTTCATGTAGAATGAGGTCACGTAAACTTGTAAGTTTGTGAGATTATGTGTGGGAAATGAAACCAGGAAACTTAGACAATAGATTGGCAGTCATTGCAGCAGAGAGGGTTATTATTTTAAATTGTTCTCTTCAGTTGAGTGCCTGTTTGTGTGTTCCTGTTTTCTAAAATTGTAATAATTGAAACAGCAATGCATCATCTTAATTTGTTTATTAACTTGAAGTTTAAAAGAACTTTATTGTATGCACGTCTGATTTGCATGAATCATATTTATAACATTAAAATATTCATACAGCCATATATTATACACATGAATGGCTTTGAGCTATTTCCAGTTCTGTAAAAATGTTGTTTGTAGTGATTACCTTTGTGCTCCACCTTGAATTTCTCTAAGAAATGGCATGGTGAGGTCAAGGTTTTTGCATGTCAGGAGTCCTTTAAGCAATTTGCAATAATTTCCATAGCATCATCACTGCCACCTTCACCAACAAATAAGGTTATACACATGTTGCTCCTTACACAATACTAACACAGTCAAAGCTGGATATGTCTCTGTGTTGGGGGGCTTTATTCACACTTGGTTAAAGAGGTCAAAAGCTTCAGAAGAATAATTAGCTTAAGAATTTAAGTACTGGATAAGAAAAGGATTGCATGTTCCTTGTCATTTTATAATGACAGCTGACAATTTTGACATTTCAAAATATAGGGATGGGTGTAGCTGCATGTTATTATAACTTCTGTGTATTTATTTATTTTGTTCTTTGAGGTTCTCAACAGTGTGCTGTGTCTGTTTAAAAGGTTAAGGCAGTCGGGATATGTTCCTTGATGGGATTTTATCATGCTAGGCATGCTCTGTTTCCTGATGAATATATTAAAATTATTACTGTGCAAACAGAGTTTCTAATTACTGACCTGCTTGCCATTGTACTGTGCATTCTGTATGCCCCCCTTCTTCTCCATGCCTTGTTTATTTATCTGCACCAGTGAATACAGAATAGTCTATGCAATGTCATTTCCATCCACATGAAAATGATTTTGAAAATGCCAATCTTGCCTATTATACAGTGTAATTACTTGTCTGCTTTTTGATTTTATCATATCTTCAGCCAGTGGGAAGATACTTGGAGAGGCTAAACATCTTAGCGAAGCTTGTCAGCTGATGAATTGCAGAGGGGGAAAAAATGGCCCAGTTTGCAAATGAAAGTGCTATTTGCCACATGTACATTGTCACTGATTGTAGTTTATTGAAGCCCTGTGTACAAGGCTTCTCTTGAGATTCAGGTTTTCAAGTGAAAAGTAATGCTGTCATGTGAGACTATGTAAGTTAGGGGTTACTAAGACAGTACTGAACTCTGTGGGAATACTGAATGATAAGCACCCAGATATAAAAGCTGACATGAACTGTATAAAGACTAATAGGTTCTCATGGTATACAGTAGACTTTTCTAATACATACTCAACATAAACCTTTTGAAGAAGGTATGTTAAACATGGGCCGATGGAACTACTTTGATGTTACCTTCACTTTCCACTCAGCAGGTTTTTCAGCTTACAAGGCCAAAAATGTTATTTTTCCAAGATCATTTTGCTTTGTCTCATCCTTCTCACATGTCATGCAACCACAGGTATTCCTTTTGAATAGGTGCACATATACGTGTAGGTGTTGTGGGAAAGTGTCACCCATTTTACTGGAACATCTGCACTACGTCCTAGAAAAGGGCAACCCTGTTGTTTACTTGTCTGCCTGCAATGTTGCACAGGGGTTGATCAGGGGAGTTGATAGGAGCTGCAATTTAAAAAGAGGACACTGCAGCACCGAACAAAAACAATTAAAGGAAAATGAAAGACGGCCCCCAAGGGTTAAAAATAGAAAATTATCAACATGCATACTGGAATCCACAAGCCCCCACCACCACCGCCACTACCCCACCCCAACCCCCACATCACCTCCCGTACCAGCACCCCCACACCCTCCTCAAACTTACTGGGCCTGCATTGTTATGTATGATCAGATCTGCCAGTTCTTCCTCTAAGCTCCTTGTCACATTTTGACTTAATGAAGTGCAACTTAGAAGGGAATTGGGTTCATCATGCTAGTCGCACGATGCTCCCTTGTTGTAGCAAACAGGAGTGGCATGGGACCGAAGCGCTACAGCGCGAGTCGTTATCATTCCGGTCAGTCTGTTTAACACAAAATTAAACAAAGAACTAATTAGTGCCTCATGAATTAATAACTGCACTGTTGCCGAGAAGAAGTTAGGTTGCTGAGGAGAGATATAAAATAAGTAGGAAGATCAGGTTAGAATTATTATTACTTTTTCGGGGATGCCTGGGCGCTCAAGGTTAGGAAACTTTTGAGAGGATTTAAGAGTGACTCGACTGGTTCTGTCAAAGTCAGTTTCTGTCCTAATGTAACACTGTGTCTGGGTTAATGGATGTCATAGAAGATACTGCACTTTTCAGGCATACTGTTGTAATCATCAACTTTATTTTATTAGCCATCTATATCATTTTAGCACTGAATACTGGCTCCCACTGTGTATTGTTGGCCCCTCAGCTTAAGTCCCTTTATCTAAGCAGTGTTTGATCCAGAAATCTTTGTGTCCATGTACATTTAGCCACTAAGGCTAGACCCTCAGTTACGAAGAGGCTGCTATTTAAGTATCCACCTCAGTTTGATTTTAAGAATGGGTGCCTTCAAGTAGATTATTGCTGGTAAATGTTCCTGCAGAAATATGCACAGGTGTAGCTAACTGTACTCTACAACTAGTCCCCATACTTCAGTGGGTTTTACAAACTATAGTCACCTCCCTCAGTCACCACCCCCTTTTCCCCCGGCTGTGATATGGGGCCTGGGTAACTGTGTACTTTTCATACTGTATATCAAAGGACAGGAATGAACAATAGTGCACATTTTCTTTTTGCATCATCTGGGGGCTTGCTGCAGTACATGGGGCTTGCCAGATTAGATGGGCAGATATATGAATTTCCCAAGAACATGTATGTGCATGCATATACTGTACATCGGAATAATCATTGTCTTGGTTTTTAATGTTTCTCCTTTGCTCTCCTTCTCAGATGAAGTGAGCCTCTGTATGGAGTGACTCCCCAGGAAGAGAAAAAGAGGTAGGACAAATCCCCAACATGACTGATTACTGTCCCCACCATCTCCCCTGTTCATATCTACAACAATATCAGGCATCTTCATTAATCCCCATGGATCAATGTGTCTGGGGGTTGTAAAAATTGACAAATGACTTATTAGAATCCCACCGTTTTATTTTCCAACTGATTAACTCACAGCAATGTCGTACACTATACAGGCACACTGATGTATCTGTTTTCCAAAGAGGGCCTCTCTCTCTATCTCTCACTCTCTCTCCCTCTACCTCTCCCTCTCTCTCTATCTCCTCTGTCTGTCTTGCTATAAGGAATCTATAAAGTGCAAAAAGCACCACTAACACTGCATTAGAAACCTTCGAAGGCTGCAATGACTCAAAGCTAAAAGAACAATAAGCTGCTTTTTACATATACAAACTATAATTTTATTGGGTTTTCTGACATAAACGGGTGTTCAGCAGTCTTTTAGCTGCAGCACTCGAAATACATTACAAAACATAACATTAATGAACACACATCAGCCCAATGGAAAAGAAATCAGCTACTGCAGAATATTAAATTACATAAGCTTTACACTGAAGCAATAAAAACCTGCATTTTAGTACCATAATTTCTCATAATTTTGCCTACACATATGCCATATTCTTGCTAACTAGGTTATGGTGTTCTGTTAATTGTACCTTGATGTCCTTTTATGCCTGCTTTATTTCTAGATGTTGTTGTGGCAACATCCCACATTGTCATCTTGACAAAATAATATAATTTTTCCACTATCTGGCATTTATTACTATAACAGACATTAGACACAGACATCTAAGTACAGTTGACATCCACCAAATTAACAAGAGTATAAAACCTTTTGCTGCTGATAAAAAAAAAATCTGCCTCTGTACAATTTGACTCTCGAGAGGATGCTAATGACTTGTGACTTGAAGAAACTGGGTTGCTTTTTTTCTCTCCCCGAGATGAAACCTTCTGTGCTAATGATGTTAGCTGGTATGAGCACCATGCTGATGTGGGAGTCTGTCATGAGGATGCATACAACAGCCCTTGCCCCTGGCCTCCTAGTCAAGAAGGATCTAAACATTCAGAAGTGACACCGTGGGCTGTCTTATGTCAAACCAGAGACCCTCGCTATCACTCGGGGGGTGGCATGGCCATGAATTGAGGCGGAGGGCTACACCACTCTCCTTTCTTTCTGGCGGTGTCACTCACACACCAGAAAGAAGACACACTCCTTGCATCAATCAGAGCCCCAGATGCATGTCCGGTGTTCATCCCACCACCGTGATGATGACACTGTCTACAGATCCACATAGACAGAAGAACTAAGAGTAACAGGAGGACAAGAGCCTGGATGCATGGATCAACATACACAGACAACTTTAAACAGGTTGCTTCGTTAAAGTTTAGTGTAAAACAACTGTGGTGCGGAATATATATCCTAACTTAAGCCTCACCTTGTCTGAGAACATAATGGAGTACAGTTAGTTTAACTGGCTTTTGATGTATGTTAATGAAACTAATCCTAACAAGGCATCTGGCTCTAATGTGGGACTGGCATGATACCCCCGGCTCCCACAGACATAGGGAATGTAGGGAACACTCCCAGAGTGGAGTCCCGCTTCTAGACAGTGGGAAGAAAATTAAACTGCCAAATTTGTTTTCATTGGTTCCAGGGACTATCCCAGGGGACTTCAAGGCTTTTAATTGAGCTCACTGAGCAGAAATTTGTAGGGCTGCTTACTAGCAACAGTGGTGTCTCCCTTTTACTTATTTGTGGTCTCGGTAAAAGATTGGGCAAATTGACAATGATTGTTAGATAAAGGGATGCTTTGCTTTTCTACTTTTAGTTTGTCATGTAAAACAAGGAAATCGTTTTCATAATGATTGATAATTAAAATTCAGGCTCACTTTGTTGATTTATTTTTTTTGGCTTTTGAAAGTTTGTGCGTAGGAGGGCAATGATTCCGTAATAAACAGGAGTTCATTCAGTCCTGGATAAAAGTAAATAAAGCCCAGAGCTCACAGGAAAGATAATTTGTCTCAGTCATGAAAAAAGAGCAACAACTCATAAAACTCAATTTAGTAAAACTCTATCCCCTCAGTATTGTATAATAACAAAAACAAGAAGCCACCTTCTCCTTTTCAACACTTTTCTCTCTCCTGCACTTTTTGTCCTTTTAAAAATTTTCAGTGTGTCAAAACAAGCAAAGGCTACATGGAAACGGCAGCCCTGTGTAAATATTTATGATGTAACATCTCCATGTGAATAGACTTTCCTCCCAATCCATCCATCATTACAGGCATATTGTGAAAGCCCACCTCCCGGTGGTGGCTCAGGGCCTTAGGAAGCTCAGACAGGAGTGGCGTGTCCCCCTCTCATTCAAAGTATTTGTTTTTCTTTTAACTCGGGGCAGCCCAGCTGTGAGAGCATTTCATGTGCCAGCCCCTCCGTTTTCATTCAATGTTGACTTCAAAGCCCATTTTGGTCCATTGTTTCTGTGACGTGGCTGCTGGACCCGAAAATGCCCAAACAGAAAAATGTGATGTAGGTCAAATTACAGCAGTTGTGCCCCTGAAACCAGTGGAATTCTTATGGTAAAAACATAAAGCCCTGGTTACCACCTAACCCCAGCGTTTGTGTTTGTTGTCCACATACCTCTTTATTTGTTCATAGAACAGCTGCATGGACATTGGGAAGTGTAGAATAACAAGGCTGTAGTTCAGAGTACTTGGCAGAAAATCAATATTTTAAGTCTGATCCTTTCTTTGCTCCTTTTTTCTAATTTATAACAGTCCACTCAAGAGCAAAATGTCAAATAGCTTACTTGTTGAAGATGTATTATAAATTATATTAGGTTGTAGACTCTACTGAGGTCCTGTATTTTGAGGTTATTTGTGTGAATAAGACTTAAGGACAGATACAGACTATCTGTTAGGGCATGTGTGTGCACAGTTCCTTGACTTGTGCAACTGTATGTAATGTCTACATCTGGTACAAAGTGGGATAAAGGATCTACTGTATGTTTTTTTTCTTTCTTCAAGCTCAGCAGTTCTTAAGAATGTGAAGGTGCAGTAGATTTATGAGGCTGTGTAGTTTCAGAAGTAGCTAAGTCTACTGCCTTACCTAAGTGGATTACAAGGTTTTAGGCTTTTCTCCTTGCACAACATATTGGCAGAAAATAGGCGTTACAGACGTTAGCGAAATATTGGCATTCAGACTCTCATAATATTATCATTAGCCATGGAGGATTGCTGAAATGTGATTAATACATCACCATTTTGACAGACTGAGCCTGAAAAGGTAATATAGATTATTACAATGGTTGTAGAGCTCAATACTATCCAAGTTTATCCATTTATCTGCAATGATGAGACTTCTTTGTGTTGTATAGCATTGTAACATCTATCTAAATAACAAAAGATATCTCTCCCATACACAATTGTCATGCTGTTAATATTCAGTCTGTGCAACAATACACATGGGAGTGGAGTGCTGAGACAAAACTTGACTCAGAACCGGGGGAAAAGTCCATAGAATATTATGAGCAGTATGAATCGATGTCCAAGCCTCTAGTACTGGGCACTTTTGCCTTGGATTAGGTATCTGATTACCTTCAGACAAAAATATTGCTTCTGTATTGTTCAATTACAACTGAGTGCTGAATGATGCAATTCACTCTCTAAGAGCAGTTTTTTCTTTCTTTGTGTATACCCTTCGTATGTGTTTGCCTTGGACGATACACAGTGAATAAATGCCATTTTTCTGTCGTTTCAAGTTCTTCTTTTCTCTCTGTGGATCCATTCAAGCTTTCAGTACCTTTTCTTCCCCTCTCTTCTCCTGTCTCTTTTTTCCACAAGCAGGAGGGTTTTACTTTACTCCTTTGTCATCCTAATTGATTGCATTAACCTTTTGAGTATTGAATTTCCTGTGCATCACGCCGAGCACAATGTGGAATATTATCATAATCCTTCCAAGTAATGGACACAAGGCAATCAACAATGCTTTGGGAAAAGTACATCTTTGAAAGATGGAGCATCATATTATTTTCAGTCCACAGACCTGGATAGGGTAGGACTGGTGCACTTTAAGAAACTTTGCTAGTAAGTAAAGTTTTTTATTTTTTAAAAGCTATTAAAGAAGTCAGGAGTGCCACTTTTAACGTGCGCTATGATGTGAGAGTTTGATTGTCTTGTCTTGATGAAAATGATGGACCAGTAAAAGACAGGCATACAGGCCCATATGTGATCCGTTTCCTGATTTCCTGATATTTTGTTTAAAAATGATTCCATGATAGTGGACCAGTAACAAGCTCCTGGGTATCTGAATTTTTTGGAAAAAAATTTTGTTTTGTTAAGAATCTATTGCAAAATAACTCAAAATGCTATCACGAAGTGCATCACAGGATCTCAGAAAAGTTGGGACCCCAATATTGTTGCCACTAATAAGCACAGCATAACCTGGGGATATGGATATCATCCGTGATTTACACTCAGCACAACTTTTAGCACAAGAGTTAAAAGTTACCCAGCACACAGATGATCACACAACCACCCGCGATTTCCTAAAGCCTTGGGTTATTGGTACCGAGGTCCCACCAAGGTCTTTAGATGTGATATGTCTCCACTCTCCTGATCATGACTGATTTTGACCACACCATTCTGCATACCATCCAGTCGTTGTACAACCGAGATAGGATCTGTGTTCTTGTTCTTCACTATGAACATATTTTCTTACTCAAGATTAGTGAAGTGTGGTGTTTGACAGGATGTGGTTTTTGCCAATGATGTTGTTTTGTTCGCTTCATCAGGCTGTGACTCTCCCCGTTATACACTGCAGGGATTTTCAGCCAATTTTGACGGGGTTGAGATGAGAATTCGCCCCTCAAAATGGCACACTGCTTGTAATGGTGGTTTGTCCCCTTTGGGATGGACGCAAGTTGCAACCAGTAAATGATTTCAGGTCTCTATCTCTGAATCTTGTTTGCGAGTGGGTAAAACAGAGCATGAGAGTGCTGGCAGGCAATACAGTGATAGAAGTGAGTAAAGGATGTTGAGCTCATTTGATTTACCATTTGATCTTGCAGTCATTACCTATGGTGACGAACTCTGGACAATGACAAAGTATGAGATTGCAAATAGATAAAGGCTGCAAAGAGTTTCTTTTGCAGGACCTTTGCAACCTAAGGGGCATTTGAAAATGACAATATTTGATTAAATTGAAATGCACCAAGGTCATTTTATTTCTTAACTGCAGATAGTTGTAAGTTGAGCGTCAGGATAGACCAGCTTGAGCAGCAAGGTAAGCCCGCAGTATACCGTGGCATGTACTTTAATGTCTTTACCCTCCATACAGCCTCCTGTTTTTGTTTGGGGGGGAAGGGCATGTTGATTTTTTTTTTTTTTTTTTTTTTTTGCTTTTTTTAAAGAGTTTTTGCCTGAGAATTATTTAGAACAAGTCCACTCCTAATAATTATCTGTCTTACTGCCCCAGAATGATACGAATGGAGATTTGGCCTGGGAGACAGACAGACATGTAGACAGACATTACTACTATATTCCTTGAATGCTGTAGACTGTACTTCAACTACATACTATTAAGGCCACAAGCCTAACAGAAGGCATTCCTAGGATAACAGTACAATAATAGCCTGTAAACAAGGCAAGAAGTTAACCTATTGACCTATTGAGTTTAATCTGTTGCTGTAGCTATTTTATTTAAACACGATAGTAAAGGAATAAAAAGTAGTTTATGTTGCAAAACCAATGTAATACCTTTAACTGTCTTATAAAGGCTTAATGTCAGAAGGCTTTAGGGGAAGTGTCACTACAGTAACACTGATCAGCCTTGAGCTTGGGAATTAGAGACAGCAAGTCTTTTAGCACGACATGACAGCAGGGATATTTTGGAGAAACACGAGTGGGCAGCAACATTTGCCAAATAAATTTTATATTTTATGAAACTATACAAATTTTTTTTTTTTTTTTTTTTTTTTTTTAAGTATATTATATCAGTCAGACAGTCCATCTGTATTGCCGAGTGGCTGAGTGTTTGTCTATGGAAGTTCAACACTATATTTCAGGTCACCACCACAGAACACGCTCTTCTCAATTCATCTGATTGGACAATAAAAAAAAAAAGCCACTGACACTGGGCGGGTTTCTGCTTTGAGATGAAACTTTTTTAACTGGAAGTGTTTTGGGGTGCCCCTCCAAAAAACACAAGGCACTGAGCAAAACATTTCACTATCAGTGAAAACGGTCTCAAAAAACCGCCCCATGCTGCTGAAATGTGTGATCTGTGTGATTGGGGCTTTAGCCCTGCATTGTCAGTCTGAGATGTCGTTTATTTGCAATGGAATGACATGCTGTTGGTCATCTACAGCCCACTCACATATGCTGCACACAGTATTCATGCTGAACCACCTAGTTATAGTGTTGATGACTTCTGCAGACCATTGTATGTTTACCTGTAAACACTGGCATAACTGCATTAAGGTAACTGATTGTTAAAAAACAGACAAACTGTTATCGTGTTGCTCTTGTAATGGCAAGAATTATCTTGGTTCTGTTGATGAAATGAAGCCAAACACCCTGTAATTCATATCAACTATATTATATTTTTCAGCTCAAAGAGGAAAAATCAATTGAAACAGGCTCTTGTGCACAGACAGATGCTCAGTTTGATCAATGCTACAGGGATAGTGCCTTTGAGATTGAGGCCAGGTTATATGTTCAAAGCTAGCCAGTGGTGCTGAGGACTTATCTAAAAATGCAGATATTCAGAGTGGATACAGTCACTATTTGGGCACATCCTTTGGCACATTTACCTGGGTTTTATTGATCAAAGCTGAATGATGTGATTGAGTGAGGATGTGGGTCAGAAAATAGGTCAAGGTCAGTCAACAGCACAAAGCCTACTGTCCATCTTTTGTGTTCCATCAAGCGTCACTAGTATTCCACTGGGGACATCTGTCCTCTCAACATATGGAAAATGGGGACCCTTAGTTTAATTATACAAGCCCACTGAGCTTCAGAATATTGACATATCTCCATATTCTGAAAATGTCATGGATAATGATTAACCAGTTCACCAGAAAATGCTTTCATAGAAACCTAGATGCGGACTAATTTTGTGGCCTGTAGCTATAACATGGGGAGGATTTACCTGCTTAAAGGTAGGTGTGATATGCATAAGAGTGGTTGCATTTTCCAATGGTTCACACAGTGTTCACAAAAATAAGGTATGTCACATTTTAAACCAGGTGTTTTGCAAAGGCATGAGTTTTACACAAAGGTTACATAACAAAGGTAGTTATGTTCAATGATCACTATTAATTTCCATTATCACTGGCTGGTTGCACAGAGACAGACTTTACTAACAGATATAACAAATTGTAAAATGTCTAAAATATAAATCAGTTCATTGGACAAACAAAGCAGTCTAATTATTGACTATCATATGAGGGTGAAAGCTGCTAGATATTGTCAGTAAGTTAGTACTTTTAAAACTCAAAAACATGGCTGACCTCTAAAAAGTTCAACCTTAGCTGCTCCAGTTAGTGTAGATACCTGAACTGAGCCCGATGGCACCCGCTGATAACCAAGGGTTTAGGTGGGGTTCGGACAAAAATTTAGAAAATATGTTTGGGTTTAGACATGTAGTTCAAACTTTAGGTTAGACGGCTGGAGCACTCAAATGTCTGCTTTGTGTAATGATACGCCATCCAAAGCAACTGCGTTGGATTTGGATTCTCAAGCATGGGTCGGGTTTGGATAGAAATATGTCCAGATTCATGCTCTAGCTAAAGCAGAAAATTTGTGCCCACTGGAAGAATCTACAGTACATTCGGGTTGCATCTGCTTTATTTGAGGTATTTGCCTACTTTTTAGCTTTGTTGCACCTCTTCTCAGATATTTATGTACTGATATTCTCAGATTATTAATATACTCCAAGGGTTTGAGGTGAATAAAAGAACACAATATGAATTTGCCAATAATTTCCAGAAATGGAACTGTGAATACCTGAATTCACAGAAACTTCCATCTAACCAAAAGAGGACCTTGCGGATGCCCCTTTCCTTCTGTTTTGTATTTTGATAGCTGTGCATCTTTGTGGTTCAATTCTCTGTATTGTTCAGCAAAGCTACAGACAGAATCTTAATTGATCTAATCTGGTTAATGCTTGCTATTTTCAACAGTTCCATTAGAAAACTCCCATCCTCCCCCACTCTGTCTCTCTCCCTTCACCTCCCACACTCTCTACCCCCCATCTGCCCTGACCTACATGGTAGTCACATGGCCCTGGCTCCCTGGCTCGGCATTTTATGGAAAATCTGCAGGAGATAAAGCCACAGGGTTTAAAGTGTTATCCCTGCCTGTCCTTTGAGAAGGGCTAAACACTGAATGAGGTGTTATTGCATCAATGCTGTTGGACACACACAGGCAGCAAAAAGGATATCTTCCTCCCTCCTTCCTTCTCCCTCTCTCTCTCTCCCTCTCCCTCCTCAGTTTGATTGGATTTAGTAGAGTGTCACCACTGTGACTTTGGGGGATTTCTTTTTCCCTGTCACTGTCTTCTGCATACTTGCTTTGGTTATTTACTAAACTTGTTCAGAAAATGGACTGTGATCTGCAGCTTACTGCCGAAGCTAGGGAGACACACATGCCTCATGCTAGTTAAGATATGCCAGACAGGCAGCTAGACCCCTTGCTTGTCTGTTCTGGCTTGATTACGCCTTGCTGGTGGTGAG